ATGCACTTTTATAATGATTTAACCGAGCCATTAGTGGGATACTTCTCATTGTCTCGACTTTTTAATAATAACTTTTTTGACGACCGTCTCGTTGCCCTTGTCTTGATCTACAAAGTAAAATTTTTAGGAATATTAATTTAATTTAAACTTGTTGCGATGCTTTACTATTGTTACAACATATAAATTATAACAAATGTTTGGATATGAGCTATACAAAAATTTCAATATATCAACCGGACCCCCTTCCTCCACACACGTGTAAAATAGTGTAAAAAAATAGTACAGATTGATCAGATCTATGAAAACTTGAAAATCTTAAAAATTTTGTGATAGCCTAAAATTATATGATTTCGATGCTAGAAAGTTTTGTGATAGCCTAAAATTATATTTTCTTCTTTAGTTATAAAATTTAAAGCTTAAATAATAGTGTAGATTGAACAAATCTATGAAACTTGAAAATCTTAAAAATTGACGGTCCACAAATGAGTTACAAAATGCACTATTTTCAAATCTTAAAATCCATATTTTTCTCATGCCCATACATCTTGATGTCCAGATGATCAATTTGATGATATTTTCACATCAAAACGACCTCTTTTAGTAAAAGTTTTGACGTAAGCTCTAATTTGATTGTTTAGAACCTACATTCTATATAAACTTTTCGCTAGAGACAGTTTAGAACCTACGTCTCTCTTAATTTTCCTAGAGACGTAGTTCTAGTTATCAAAACCTTATGATAGCTTGAAAATATATTTCAATCCCTATGAGATTTAAAATGTCAAAAATTTCAAAATTTCCACCTCTAGCTTGAACTGTAGAAGTAAGGCACACCTCCAAGTTCTGCTTGCAAATGTAATCCTAACATCAAAAACCTTACAATGACTTGAAAATCTATTTCTATCCCTCGTTATGAAATTTAAAATTTTAAAAATGACAGATTCAACAAACGTATAAACATTTGATATTCTTGAAAATAAACAGTCTAGATAACCTGATGCACCATTTTTATAACAATTTTTTCTTTATATATATAAAGAAAGAAACTTGTTTGAACAATCTTGTTTGAACAGGCTTGGATGCTACTTGTCATCAGATGCAAAGTTCAAACACCCTAGATAACTTTTTACAAGAGCCTCATTAAAGTAGCATCCATGCCTACAAGCATGAATCAATAATGCCAATTTTAACTGCACAGTGTTTTTGTAGCACTACATTTCACAAAGAAAACCTAAACACATTTTGTTTTCATGTTTTGAGTCTAGTACAAATTCAAACAAACAAACCGTCTTTCTTGCTTTTTTCAAAAAAGTGAAATTTTCCGATGAAACGGAGAAACAAAAGAAACCGTTGATGATCTATATGTGGAAAGCATTTTCATGTGGACATTGGCTCGGTTAGAAGATCAAGCAAGGAGCTAGTGGGCGCTAATTCTTCATGCCATAGCGGAAGCTCATCACCTGGGAAGAAATGCCGCATCACACCTTCCTTGTTTATCTGCAAAACCCACAAAAAGCAATAATGAAAACATTTATTTGAATTAGTAGCTGGCCTAACCAAAAGAAATAGCACTTCAACTAGTAGCTAAATCATCAAAGAAAATTACACATGTACTAGTAGAATCAAATTTACTACAACTATAGTAACATTTAAATATGATGAAAAGCAACAATAATCATAATGAAAACGACAATGATAGTAAATAAATGATAATCAAGTCATGAATTCAGGCCAAAATGACAGGAAACTGCACTTGATTTAAGAATTCCTACTGAGATATCCCAATCAGATGGCGAAGTTCCCCTAACAACTCCCGTTATGGTGTACTATTGATTTAAAGGTGTAACGCCGTCAAATTTCTAATGGTGCATGCAAATTCTGGTAGAACGGATGTTTTGGAAATTTGCCCAATGAACTAAATGAAGAACTGAAAACCATGAATTCAAGCCAAAATGACAGGAAACTGCACTTGATTTAAGAATTCCAACGGAGATATCCCAAATCAGATGACGAAGTTCCCCCAACAACTCTGGAATACTCTACTATTGATTTAAAGGTGTAACGCTGTCAAATTTCTATTAGTGCATGCAAATTCTGGTAGAAGGGATGTTTTGGAAATTTGCCCAATGAAATAAATGTGGATCGTCATGGTTATATGAAAAAGAAAAGCAAAACAAGCCAAGCGTTCCATCCAACAAAAAAATGCCCTCAACCTTTTAGTTAAAATGCCCAAAATTCAAAATCATGTGGGAATCTATTCCAGGGAAGTTAGCCAATAGAAATTCACAATGCAACTTATAAAAAGTAAACGTCAAAGATAAACATCACTAGAGTAATTTTACTACAAAAGAATATAAATTGACAACTATAAGAGATACTGAGAGAAGATTTATAAAGTAAACTTACAATAACAGTACGGACCACATCCCCACTGGCACTATCTCGAGCTATTGCAAGAGAGATGGCTCTCTTCACTAATCCTGCATAAAACCAGCCAATGTAATAGACACTGATCCAACCAACAGTTGAATTTTTTTCTTTTTTTTTTTTGGAAAACAGAAAAATCATTATTGTCAGGCAGGGACAAATCAAAAACCCTCATTTACTCCAGGTAAAGGAAGAAAATACATTATCATGAGCCACAAGAAAAGAAAAGGTGCTCCCGAGGAAAACTTACCACGGGCACTGCCTCTGCTTAAAGTTTTAACCAAAGCTCATTACAGATGATTTCTTTTGACAAGTACAATCAGTTATTAATATGCCCCCTCTCCAGTTAAGATCTCTGGTGAGGGAATCCTCTCCTATTCCAAAAAGATAAATAAGGAATAACAAAAGAACACGTAGTAACAAGCAATTTACTCAACATCAGTTTAGCCATACTTTATTTTCTTAATGATCTAAGTAACTTAAAGGTATTTTGGTCATTTTCCTTTCAACATTATCAATGTGAGTTTCGAGTCATTGTGAAGTAACAAAAATTTCTTCCACACTACTCCAAGGTGCTTTTGAAATGGTACTAACAAGAATTGGCAAACCTAGACCTTGAAAATCACTGTTGAGCCCTGGGAAAGCAAAATCCACAAGGGAGGGAATGCATATTGATAGAGCGCAAAATTCTTCTTATTTTGTATTTTTATTCAATTTCAATTATACATATTGTAGTTTTAGTTTTAGGGTTTATTTCTAGGATTTTTTGGATTTTTAAGGTTTTTATTTTTTTTATTTACTCTTCACAAGTACTATTCAAGGTATTGTTCATAGTTATTGTTAAGGGTATTTTCGGAATTTTGATATTGTTTTAGGGTTATTTTAGAGCATTACATATTTACTCGAATCTCAAGTTAAATTAGGGTTTCATAGGCTTATAAAAAGTTGGATGTCATAGCTTGGGGGATATGTTATTGGAATAAATTCTATTTTATGAAAGATGAAAGTTCGTCTCTTAGCTTGATTTACAACTATGTTACTTCTCCAATATTGTTGATTTTATTTGTTTAAGGCTCAGGAAAAGGGTGGATTCAATTTCCGACCTTTCCTTCTTGCATCAAGTTGTATCAGAGCATAGTTCGAGGACGGCTAGAGATTGCGATGGCTTGTTGCGAAGGTCTTAGCTATAGGGACGCCGATATGATCCGACGGCGCAAGGAAATCAACAACTTGACGGAGGGTTACAAAGCTATTGCTGCGCAAGCGGGGCCAGCAATGACATGCCCTAAACGAAGAGGAATCTCCATGGATCGATGCAAATTGTGAGGGTTTTTATGGAGAATGGCACGAATCTAAATCCGACTCAGAGTTGGAGCGAAATGATGAAGCTGCCTTCAACCACCTGTTCTATGTACGAGCTCCGCATTGGGAGTCTCATGTTCAGGAAAATAAATCATGGGATTTAGTTGATCTACTTGATTTGAAAGAGAACAAGGTTGGTGTGCGTCATATCGAAAATCAACAGGTTGTAGATTAAGATCTGCCACCAATTTTCGATACATACTTAGATGATGAATAACACTTTGGAATAGATCTAGGGGCCGTTTGGGTACCTGAAAATCTATTACATGACAATCGACATTTCCACCGTTTGGGTACATTTTATAGTAAAGAAATGGAAAGAGATTACTCGAGATTTCCCCAAAAATCATGAAACACCCAGTGAAAGGTGAAAAATATATTAAGCGCTTGACGGGTAATCTTTAGAAATCTTTCGCGTGCGTCTCTCTACCCTATCCCAGCTTAATAAAATGCCAACCTGCCTACTCGGTTTACATAGGTGCTCCGTCTCTCTCTAAGCCCGTCCCCTCTCTCTTGAACCCTAATAACTGGCTCCCTCTCTCTTTAAGCCCCTTCTTCTTATCTGTACCTTTATTTTATTTTTATTTTTATAAGCCCCTTCCTCTCATCTCATCTGGACGTTTTCCTTTTTTTTTTTTTTTAAGCCCCTTACTCTCTCATCTGGACTTTTTCCATTCTCCCTCTCTCCGTAGCATATCTAATCAATCAGAAATTACACAGCACAATTATAATAAAAAATTTCACCCAACATAATCCTCATAAGAGATTAGTAAAAGCCCAATTGAAATAAGATACCTCTTTTGTTTCTTCCAATACCTCAAAATTTTCTACTGCAATTACCAAGCCTTCTAGTTTACTAATCAAATTTCTTCCCATTTTTTAACTTGTACAATAAAGATTTTAATTTGGTATCATAAATTTATTGCTTATTTGAAATTATATAGATAGACATTTGAAAAACTTCTATAAAAAAATGAATAAAAATAAGGCTTATCACAATAAAAATATGTTATTCCAATCATATTATTCCAATGACTTATCATGTTGAAACCAAAGTCTAATTTCCATGTAAGTGCCAAAGGCATGCAAAATAAGTAAGAAAGTGTGTGATGATGACTTTAGAATGGTACAAGTTATTATTAGAAAATCTTTTGGAATGGTGATGATGTTATTATTAGAAAATCTTTAGGGAATGATGTGATGATAACTTTAATTCCACATTTTAGTGGAATTTTGTGATAAACAGAAAGAAAGAAACGATAGTTTATAGGCAAGTGCTGGTAAAATGTTGGTAATGCATTTCCCATATTTCTTCTAGACATAGCCAAACAGTAGACATGTATTTCCTAGGTTTCATCTAAATACTTCCCAAACAATAACAATCCATTTACAGGTAATGTATTATGCAGTAATGTATTACGCTAGTAATATATTTCACAAATAATATATTTCCAGGTATCGAAACGGCCCCCTAATCTATGATGGTGATCAAGATTTCGTGGGCGAACCGATCTTTGATGAAGAAAAAGATGAAGATCTAGAACATTTTGGAGATTTATGGCATTGGAATCAGAGTAGCACAGTGGAAGTGTGGTCGACTCAGACTCTACAAATTGTGGCCCTAATTTCAGAAAGTGATCAACTAGATGTTGAGAAAACCTCCAAAGGCTAGAAAATTGAGTTCAGAGTATCTTATGTGCTTTCCAATTGGAGTTCACAAATATCTGAATCTGATAAATTTGCATGGATTCCTCATTATCCATATCAGGACCCATTTCTTGAGGAATTTTTTTTACTTTGAATAATATTTGAGACGACAAAAAAAAAAAGTCAAAGAAGGTGGTTTTGATGTTGAGTTCATCTTAACACACATCAAAACTCAAGGACGAGTTTTCTCCAACAAGGAGAGAATGATGGAGGGCAAAATTCTTTTTATTTTGTATTTTTATTCAATTTCAATTATGTATATTGTAGTTTTAGTTTTAGGGTTTATTTCTAAGATTTTTAGGATTCCTAGGTTTTTATTTTCTTATTTACTATTCACAAGTACTATTCATGGTATTGTTCATAGTTATTGTTCACAATTACTATTCATGCGATACTGTTCACAGGGATATTTTTGGCATTGTTTCAGGAGTATTTTAGAGTATTAAATATTTACTTGAATCTCAAGCTAAATTAGGGTTTCATAGGCTTATAAACAGTTGGATGTCATAGTTTGTGGGATATGTTATTGGAATAAATTCTATATCATAAAAGAAAAAAGTTCTTCACATGGCTTGATTTACAGCTATGTTCTTTCTCCAATATTGCTGATTCGACTTGTTTAAGGTTTAGGAAAAAGGTGGATTCAATTTCCCACCTTTCCTTCCTACATCACATATCAACTACAGGTACACACGATGGTGATCATATGTGAATGGATAGAGAGAGGTAGATAATTATCAGAGTGCAACCGAATCACTCAGTTTCTACGAAGGGCACAACCACAAGAATGTTGATAGCAAAGGAGGGCATGCCGATATTGATGAAATAATAGAAGGAATAGAACAAGCTTACTTGAGGGGCAACGGACGTTAGAGATTTGAAGCCAACCACTACTGTCAAGCAGTTTGTAGAAAATTTATTTTTATGGGGAAAATGTTAATAGCACATGATTTGATAAGCCGAGATACAGGAAAAGCCAAGTTTGGGGCTATTTCAAGGGTGGGCATGGAGAGCCCGATGAAAATGGCAATTGGGATTTTCCAGACTATAGATATTGGGCATTGAGTAGAAATTGAGTGGGCAAATTTAACCAACTGCAATTCCTTCACTGCACCGGCCTCCTCAATATGTTTCTGCATGTATATAAAATGATAAAAAAGAACTGCATATTAAGAATGAATCCAATATAATAGTGGTGTCTTTGAAAGCAGCAAACAGGTAGTGACATGATACTATGCAAGACTGGTAGGAAATAAAACTAACAGTTACAAATGGACAAGGCAGATTTCAAATTGTCATTAAGGATGTACCTCAGCTTCTTCCTCGGTCAAGTCTTTCTTCCATGCCTGATCAAAGAAGCCATACAAATAAGGGGAGCCAGATCCTGCAAATAACAGGATTTTGGGCTCAATGCAATGTATATCACATCCATCCATTTATGTAACATATTTCATACTCCACCTAAAACCATGAAAAGCATATAATAACAAGATAGCAAGATCTTTGATCCAACCTGCAGAGAAAACAGTTCCGCTTAAGATAAGATGGCAAACCCATGCCAAGAGCTTTACTTACAAGCACAAATGATGCATCAACCAACCAAGAAAAGGATCTTGCCAAAATCACAAAAAACAGCCAACTTACACAAAGTAGTAGTCCCCTCAAAATCTAAGGGAACTTATTGCTTTTAACCACGGCTTCTTCTTTTTTTGCATTAACTAGGAGCAAAATAAGGCTATTATGACATAAGGTGATGGACAAAAGTCGAGGCACAGGAGAAACGAGGGTTGATAAAGGCATCAGACTTTGGTCAGCAAGAGATTCTATAGCAAACAGATGATGATGAGAGAAGTCTGGTACTCCACCATCCCTAGGCCTCAGGAATTTTCATTCCAAAGAAATGAAGAATGATATAGGCGGATAGAAATTAGAGGAGAAAATGATAAAACTACTTTCTGGTTATAATTGAGAAGACAATGATAACCATATGTGAGGACATCTCTACTTATAGAAAGGAATTTCTAAGGGCCCCTAGACAGGAGTTTGAAGCTTCAAACCAGTGGATCACATCGAGGGCAGGGCTCCGTTGCTTGAGCCAAAAGGTTGCAATGAGCCACAGTAGGTACTATCCTCCTCCAGTTGCTCTTTAAACTCAAATCCAAGGCTTCAATACTGGTCAGACTTGGATTTTCAATTTCTTTTTACTCATTTGTGACAATGTTTTTCCAATTGAAAAGCAAGCTCAATCCGAACTCTTAAGGTATTAATACTCTAGAACATCATGAAAAATTAGCAGAAGGATTTCGGGGCAATGTTCAAAAACTCGATGCACACACCTAGGAGATTTGGGGACCTGACCACCTAGATGGGTACCTAGGAACAAGGATAGGCTTCTGAGGGCAGGGTTTAGGCCCCCTAGGGAGTTCTTAGGCAGTTTTAGGGCCCCAAAACCCTTGAAAATAAAGAAATAAATAATCATAGGCATCATCATTCGTCACAAAATGAACTTCATAATATGTGGAAACCAAATGAAACATAAAAAAATACATAATATTTGGTTTTCCAATCTAACAAAGAAAATAATAATATCAATCTAAAAATAATAATCACATAATATCCCTACGATTTAGTTTCCAATCTAATTATTCACAAAATAGCATTACAATTCAAACTATTCATAAAATATAAGCCCAAACCGATAAATATTCACAAAATATTCAAATTACAAAAACACAAAAATATAAAAAATAAAAGAACGTCATACTATAACACATTATACAAACAAAATATCAAACCATGATTCAAATATTGTAATGCATTAATCTATCCAAAATGAATCCGACATAGGCCCAAACCAGTAAATATACACAAAATATGTCAACTACAAATATGCAAAAATAGCACTAAAAATATAATAATATCAAATCATAAAATATTATACAAAAACAATGCCAAACCCGTACTCAAATATTCTAATATATTTAACTTTTTCAAAATGGAATCAACATAGGCCCAAATTGGCGTCCTTCGGTTGCCAAAAGTTCCCTCTTGTGACCCCTTCAAGCTCCAAAAAGTATAGGAAAGTGTATCTTTTGATGTTGCATGAAATTGAAAAATGTTGAAGTTTTTTCAACCTTGAGAAAAATCTCAAAATCCAATTTTTTTTTTAGAGTTTTCCTCTCTAAAACATACAAAAGGGGTTTTGGGGAACTAGAATGCCGCTCAAAACCCTTTTGCCAACTTTATAGGGGGAGAAAATACCCAAAATACCCCTGGCTGAGGGACTATTTTCACCCACGGGCAGCCTGCATCAAGGTGCCTCCTCGGCGCTCGTCTAGGCGGACATGTAGATGCCATATGCGTAGGAAGCCCGCCTAAGTGGCACCTAGGTGCCAAATTTTTAACATTGTTTCGGGGCCTACTAGAGTCAATCTTGCTCATCAAAAACTCAATAATCATAGATTGGGCACAAAATATTTGTTTTTTTAGTTGTAAATCAATGTGATTTTCTTGTGTATATGACTCTTTGAATGGACACTCATTTTTTAAAACAATCAACAATTCCTTTTTTGCACCAAGTCACAATAAAACATTTACCATTTCAGAAAAAAAGAATCTCTGCACGCTAATTCAGAGGTCTTGAAGGCACAAAAAATAGTTTAACCTTACTTTTTTTTATATGCCAAAATAATTATATTTTTAATTTTTTGGTTGAGGGCAGCCCAAACTTGAGACAGCCATCCACGGGTGATATAGGCATGCGGTACAACATGCCCCGTTCTAGCAGACCTGCTCAGGCCGTTGATATTGATCCTAGGCATGCAGTACAACATGCCCTGTTCTAGCAGACCTACTCAGGCCATTCATATCGATCATAGGCATGCAGTCCAGGGGCAATATATGAAGAATGGGTATTCCTTTGGAGTCTACGGGGGTCGAATGGCAAAGAAACTGGATTGTCATGGCCTGACTCCCATGACCAATCAGGAATGGAAGTGGATCCTTATGGTAAGACTCTCCCACCAATCAGATAAAGAACTAAATCCTAACCGGAGGACTCCAAGTATCGATCAAATAATGCAAGAATGCCATGAACTATGAAGAAATCTGGCTAGATTCAAGATTGAGCCAAAGAACGTCTCATCAGAGACCACAAATACAAGTCCTCTGAAATAAGGTGGGCTTAGGACTGTTCACTTATAGGTAGGCTTAAGAAGGCTCTTGTAATCAACTTCAAACAGCTATGTACCTTCAAATGCAGGTTTGAACCAGAAATGAGCATGATGATGTCATCATTTCTATCACCAAAGCACTCCTCATTTTGGAAAAAATTTGTGGAAGTTCTGCAAACTGAGGGAAAGGAGATTTTGAAATAGACAACGCAGAAGAGGGTTTTGAAAAGACAACTAATGCATTGAAAATCAGAAAGGAAAAAATATACTTACCAAGTGATTACTCGAAGTCTCGAACCCGAAGTTACTTCCACCAGACTTTTCCGTTCCAGCGGGACAACGCTGATTACCAATTTGCATGTCCCAACTGCATGATTCCATCATGGGGCTATATATAATGCAGCTGCCGTGAGGTCATCATGCTATGTTGCCACAGTGGGGCTATGATGCTATCATGGGGCAGGATTGGGTTCTGCTCAACTTGTCCCGCACTTGACTACTCTTGAAGGGACATGAATTTTGTGAGATGTATTCTCCCCATAGAGTCCTGTGACACTGGCATTTTGCAAGATTTTTTTAACCACCTTTGACAGCCAGACACGAACCTAAGTCTACTTTATCCCTATGCGATGAGTTTCATTGACATGCTTCATAAGTGATAACAGGCTTCGTTATCGAGTACTTCGAATTCAACAAAGTGACAATATTTTTTCTTCTTTTGAGCATACTGGGGCCTTTCATAAGGAACACTGTTTCTGGGAAAGAAATACAAATATTTGAAAAAGAACAAAAAATTAAGTTTGATGAAAGTACAATATTAATTTTGATAAAAGACTACAAATTTTAAATTAATCATGAATGTTGTGAATTGAAATATGAATTTTGACTTAAGACTGAATGAAAATACTTTTGATAATCATGATAATATATTACTAACAGGACTAACATACAAGGTCCTCACAAGTAGTGAGTCTAAGGCAGCCCACAAGGCCGAGTGCTCTATAAAACAAATGCAGTTAGTAATAACAAAAAATGTGACTGGCAGCCCACACGTCAGGCACTCGAGCATTAGTGCCAGTGAGAGTGAGTAGAGAAAGTGATAAAAAGAAACAGGGAGGATGAGGCGGAAGAGAGATAGGGGAGTAGATACGGATAGAGAAAAGTAGAGGAAAAGAAACGATAATAAGAGGTGAGAAAAAGGGGACTGAGAAAAAAAATGAGATGTTATAGGAGAGAGGGTTAAGATAGAGACGCTTTTAAAGAAGAAGACTCAATGGAAATATTGTTTTTTTTTTAATTATAATGAATCAATGGAAATATTTTTTTGTCAAATATTAGTATCAAAAATTTGATTTTGATGGAAAAGGGGTTCAAGGGCTACACCCCCTGCCTGCTTTTCCACATATTGAATAAATTTTCACGTCTTGCAAAACGCTTTTCTTTTCTTCTCGATAGTAAATAAAAAAATGGTTGTGTGGCATCAGAGTACATGATGTCCCATGGCCACTGCAGTATGAACTGCACACAGCACGATGTTTGCAGTTGATGACACAACAAACAACACAGGCTCCCTGATTTTTCTAGAAACATTTGGTGACCACCGTGATAAATACAGTCACGATGAAGAAGTATCATGATGGGATGGACACAGCTACATCAATGGTGACATGCACACCTTGATCCTACTAGAAGTGTACTTCTCATGGTACACATATTTCATTGTATGTACAACTCTCTTAGCCGTGTACTTTTATTGCATTATGAACAAATTCCTCATAAAGTCAAGTAAATGAAAAGAAAATATCCCACCCAACCTTAATTTCAGAACCCACCTCAGAAAAAAAAAATTAACCAAATACTAACAAGAACACTTATCTTAATAATGATATAAGCTTCCTAAAGCTACAACACCAAAAACTGTTGTAATAGAAACCCAACTATATTTGCTGACTAGAAAAGGAAACACGTACATCCAAAGTACCTTTTCTTAAAATAAAGAAGCACATGCATTTAGTACAAATAGATAGATAGATCGATAGAGAGAGAGAGAGAGAGAGAGAGAGAGAGAGAACAAGAAAAC